CCCCCCCCCCGCCCCCCACCCCCCGGCTCTCCCAGGATCCTTACGCCGAGAACGACCTGATGCGCGGCATGTACGACTCTTCCGCTGGCTCGCAGGTGTGCATGTGTGTGTGTGTGTTTGGTTGTTTGCATCGACCGCTCTAACCGGCGGACGTAGAAAAGACGGCAGTCTCAGCGCGGTTGAACACACGTAACACTTGTAAATGCCATCAACTGGGATCCCGTGAGGGGGGTGGGAAGGGGGAGGCTAATCTATTCTACGGTATGTGTGCGTTTGTTTTTTTTTGTTATTCGCATCGACCGCGCTAACCGACAAGACACGTCAGTCTCAGTACGGTTGAATGAGAATGTTTGGATACCCTTCGGAAGTGTCGCCGTGCGAAGCATGAATGCTCGAAGTTATCCGGCTACATCACTAAACCTTGTGACTCTTGGTGTTGCGAAGAATACGTCAAGAAACGGCAGCCTACTCTTCGAGCGTCACATAAGATTGACGAGGCCACGTTGCGCTGAGGCTATCGCGTACATGCATATGGTGCGCATCCGTTCGTTTTTTTGTTCCCGCAAGGTGTAATTCGCATTGTGAACGAATTCGCCATCTGTACACGATGGTATACTTGCCTCACGATTGATTGATATCATCGCTGTTTTGTCGAATCCTCCGCCTTTTCTTTCCCCAATATGTGCAGAATTTCAACACTTTGGCTCAGAATCTGCGCACGCAAGGACGGGCGGGCGGTGGACGTTACTGAACGGAACGCGGGAAAACCACGAGTGCATGTTCCAGATAAACGTCAAGCTTTCACGGTTTTATTTTGGGTTTCCGTTCGAGACCGTTGGCGTTATAGGGGGTGCGAGTGCCGTAGTGCTCTGCGTGGAGAGGGAAGGAGGGGGAAGGAGGGTCAAATGCGGTTTGGTTCAATAAGTCGCAACCTCAGCGAACCACTACAGAATTTTGTAGTCAGAAACGTACGTTGTTGTTCTGTTGGTGTCTGAGGAACGCGCACGATGTGATCCTATTACTGGGCTCATGGCACCAAGAGTAGGGTGTGGCGGGAGGGTTCGACCGGGAAGAAGGGGGGGCGGGGGCATGGATTGGTGCGGAGGGGCTGGCCGAAGCCTTGTCGATTTTTTGTATGCTCTGCCATGTCAGTTTTTCGGATCTCCCACGGGTTTTAGAAGACTTGGTGTAACAAAAAAATGACAAAAAAATTACCTCATCTTCAGGGATGAGCGCCGCGCTTTCCTCGCATTGGTACCATGCAGTCCAGCGTATGGCCGATTGAACGCCTCTTGAGCGATGAGCGCCACGCTTTCCTCGAAGTGGTACCGTGCAGTTCAGCGTATGGCCTGATTGTGTACCTCTTCTTACAGCGATGAGTGAGTGCCACGCTGTCCTCGCATTGCGACTATGCATTTCAGCGTATGGCCTGATTGGGTACCTCTGATGTGCCACACTTTCGTCGCATTGGTACGTACCACCCATCAGCGTAGCTTCCGTATCCCTCTCGCCGCGAAAGTAGGTTGAGTTAGCTCAAAATGTGCTGCCACGTGGATGGATGCTGTGGCGGAGTATCTAGAGCCTCGGTGAGGCAAAGCGCCGGTCATGTTCAGTGCCCCCGTAACGGTTTCAACTCGCCCGTCTTGCCTGATTTTTTCTTCAAGCATGCAGTCAGTCATATAGCCTACACGTCTACACTGGAGGACACCTTTTCCCTTTTTTCGCCCAAGGAAGGTGTTGGACCGACATGTTCGCTGAGTGCAACAAAAATAGCTCAAGGCAACTAAGGGGTTCCGGTGGATCCCTATCTTTTGTGCCGTGCGCGCGCGAGTCGTTGCAGGGTTCCACATGGTACCCTCGCTTTGCTATCACCATCATCACTACAGAACGACCAACTCTCCGCATCTACCGTCGATACTAGGGCATTGGACACTCGACTTTCGATATTGCTCTGCGGCAGTGCAGACTCTGGATGCAACGTGGGAATGCCCGTGATTGTTTCTTTGTTTTTCCGAAGGCAATTACTCGCGACGACTCGAACTTTACGCCACTCGGGGAGGTGCAAACTAGTACAAGGAAATAACGGTAGGAGCACGACGCACGTCACTATCTCTCCCTCTTGTCCTGTATTCTCTCGAGTATGGGGGAGTGACGGCAAGGTGGTTGTTGCGTCCTGGCGGCGGGAGATGGTCAGCGGTAGTTCTTGAATTCTGAACCAATTCGGCGAAAAGGTTCCCGAGGCGTGTCTGTAATTAAAAAAAAACGCGTGCTTCAATTGACTCTAGGCAGGCACCGCGGCACGGCACCGCTCGCTGGCTCCGCGTCCTTCCTCCCCCCTCCCTTGCCCCCACCTGATTGAACCATTCGTGTCGCCCTGGAGTATCTCTTGTGAAGATGGCCGATAACGATGAGCCGAGATAATATGAATCGGACTTTCGGAGTCACGCTCTTCTCTTCTCATGCTACGACAGAACACGGAACGGCAGCAGCGTCGTTTCTCAAAGGCACCTGTGCCAGAGGCACCACACGGCTGCCTCCCTCTCCTGTGTAGCGCAGACACAGAGAGCCTACTGCTGTCCTCCTTTCTTGCCCATGATTTTGTGGAGAGAAACGACTTTCGGTTCGCGTCTTGCGAAGCAAGTCGATTTGTTGTGAGGTCCATCATATCTGTAAGGAATCCAATTCAACGCAACCCAGCAAAGCACAGGTGCGGAGACACAGAAACGGCATCCCCGAGGTGTGATCGCTGTGTAAGCACCAGTTGGTTCTGGCCTCATCCATACATAAGCCTGCCAGTCCCGACCATAAAGACTGCTTCTTGGTACTGCTGTGAGGCAGAAATATATTCAATCAAGCCGCGCTCGAATTGAATTGGTGAACGTGTCTTATGAGGTTAGGGCTTGTGAAATCGCATCCTGCATTTGTTTGTCCTTGTGTCAGCCTGTGTTTTGTCTTCCGTTCCCACTTTTCGGCTACTGAGATTGAGCGTGTCGTGACTTTATCAGTAGCCTTACAAGTAGCAGGGTTTTTTTGTATTAGCAAACATGCTAGAAAAACATGCAATCGGGAAAGTTGGGTTAGAGCTAGGGTTAGGGAATAGGGTCTGCGCACCCCTTCTTTCTTGTATTTCCTCAATAAACATAATTTCTCGCCAAGGCATTCGACTTTGAGATGCAAGCGCGAATGTTACATCTACCATGTACGTCTAGTATTGCAACCCCCGGTCTTCGACTAAAGCGGAACCCTCTTCACTCACTGTTTTGTTCAGGCGTAACACACGTGGTGAACCAAAGGACGAGCGAACGATATTATGTCGCAATTTTGCCAAGCACCAACGTTAGTGGACCGACGGTATGATAACAACCCGTGAAATCCGAGAAACAGATGCTGTCCGGATTTTTTCACGGGTACCCGGAACCCTCCCAACAACAGGCGTGAAGTTTTCCAGCTGGTTGTTCAATGTAGAAAACACTTTCGGCGCTGTCCCAGACCATCTCTCGGGAAAACTCTCGCGGCTCTCCTCGCGTGCTACGGGCGACATGGCCAACTTCTCTCGTGGTCGGTGTACGGTTTGACCCGAAACAGTCGCCCACATGTTTTTTTCGTCTTCCCTTCAAGTCAGCGCTCACAGCAGTGTACCACGTTTAGGGCGGCGCCAAACCTTCGCCATGACGCGAAAGCCAACGAAGTGATGACGTGACGCATCAACATGGCACAGAAAAAATAACACACACACACACCATGGCCGTCGGAAGCGTCCGCTTCTAGCCCACTGAGACTGGCGTATTTTCATTGTTGTGCGAGGTCGATGCTAATGAACACACACATATGCACACACATGGCGTTGTTCCTTTGTACCATATAAACACTTGGCGGGAAATTGCGCGAAAAATGATGACATGCGAAAACAAACTAGCGTCAGGTAGAGCATTTCGAACGTTCGAACGGCATAAAAAATCGCGCCGTGTGCTCACCCACAAAGCCCAAAACAATGAATCTCGGATGAAGGTTCTTACGTTCATGATACAAACTCGTGCGAGAAGCACTGACACCACGAGCACAAGCAACGAGGTCTGCTGCAAACACTAGGAAAAACCAACAGAGACAGAGTGCATGTACAGATCACCCGTGGGGGATTTCGCCTCCGTCTCGAATCTCAGCTTTTGCGGCAACGACCACAGCCATCTCTCGTCCCTTGCGCACCTTTGGTGCCGACGTCAATCCAGGCAAAGACCCTCACGGCATGAGTCGTCCAAGGGTACCCCCCCTCACATTCCCCGACCAGAGAACCGACTGGAGGGAGCGAAAAATCAACTTCCCCGGAAACAGGGAAAACAGAGCCTTTCGCGTACGGTCATCCTCGCCGCGGCAAGATCTGCAGCGCATGGACTCCTCCTCCTTCTCCACCGTGACCATTGTACACATGCTTTTGTGCGGGGTCCGGGGGCGTCCAGGCGTGGTGTGGAGTTTTCCTGGTGCGTGCCACGCCTCCCCTTTTGCCGTGAGCAGATATGATGGATCACGCGTTTCTCTCCCTGTCATCAGACCCGCCGTCTCTACAGCTTCGAGGAGCGTGAAACGGTTTCCCACGCTTGTGTTCGTGGTGAGGCCTCGCACTCTCTCTTTCTGGCCAGCATTGTCTTTCGGGGGGCTCTACAAGCTCTACTAAGCACTGGCTAAAAGCCCTACTATGCCTGGCCAGAAGCCCTACTAAGTAGCTGCTGCTGTCGACGCCGCTGCCGCCGCCGCTTCCGCCGCCCCCGCCAACGCTCGGCTGGCCGCCTGGGCGGCCTCGAGCTCCACTTCCTCCTTCCTTGCTCTCGCGGCCTCTAGAGCTATCTCAGCCGCCGACATCTCGACCAGTGCCAGCCTCAGCGGCTCCGCCCTGCTATTGGTCTCCGACCGCCTTGCCCGCTCCACCACTCCGTCAAACTCTGACGAGCTTTCCGAGGGAGCTGCAGCCGCCGCCTGCCTTGCCCGGCGCACGGCTGCCGCGGCGACCGATAGGTCCGACTCCGCCCCCGCCACTCTTATGGCGGCCTCCGCCATCGCCGCCATCGCCGCCCGGCGGGCCTGCGATAAACACAATACCGCGCCGAACACGTGGACCACACGCACATACTTCCGTGTACATTGTTCGCAAGCAAGGCGATGCTTGTAGCGTCGACTTAACGAATATGGAGGGGCCTTACACGAGGAAACCTCTTGCCATCGCAGACTACCCTTGCTTGTGTCTGGTCTGTGCTGAACGTATTCGCTCCGGTTGTGACCTCAAATAGTTTGTGCCATCGCCCGTGAAACGCCCGAGTTGGCTTATTCTAATGCACTAAGCTCCGTTGCAGGATGCCCAATGTCGAGCCTTGGCTGTCACACCCTGGCAGCACCATATCATGCCGCGAATACGGAAGTGCTCTATTGCGCCCGACAAGAGTCTCTTGGCTTCTGTCTATTGCCTGTCTGTACGTGTCTCTATGTATTTATTTCTATTTTCTCTTTGTGTCTTTCTCTCTCTGTGTTTCTGTTCACTGTGTGTCTGCACGTACGTCTATTGATGACTATGCATGTCTCCCTGTTTGCGTCCCTCTCCTCTCTGTCTCTCTCTCTCACCTCCGCCAAACTTGCCGTTATCGCTTCCGCTCTTCGACGGGCCTCCTCTTCCCTTGCCTCGCTCTCACTCTCAGACATCGCTCCGCGCGCCCCTGCCGCCGCCGCCACCGCAGCAGCAGCAGCAGCAGCAGCAGCAGCAGCAATCAACCGTGCTGCCGTCGGATTCACCTCCAGCTGGCCCGCCACCGGCCTCGTGGGCGCCCGCGCCGCCACTTCGAGCTCCTCCAAGCGCCCGAAAAGCGCGGCCACCGATACAGGCCCCGCTTCCGCTACCAAGCGCGTCTCGGCCTGGGTCGTGGGCGTCCCCGCCGTGGCGTTGAGCTCCCCCAGCCGTGTCAGCAAGGCGGCCGTCGCCGTCGGCACCGGCCGGCCTTCGGCTACTACGGCTCCCGCCGCCCGCCGTGCCCTCGCCTGGAGCGCCTCCTCCTCCTCCTCCTCTCTGCGCCGGATCAAGGCCGACCTGACACGGTTTCGGAGGCAAGTGGTGTGGTTGAGTTCAAGGGTGGGGTATGTAGGCTATTAGCAAGTGGGACGCCAATATGCAAATGCTCATGGGCTGCCTCGTCTTAGTGCTGCCGGTAAGTCACACAACCGCAGCAAACGTCGAGGGCGGCACGATCAACAGGCACCAAGAGAACTCAGGCAAAGCAGACAATGGTCAAACGCTCAGTGTCTGCCAACCCGCCCCACCCCTCTCGCCCCCGACTGCACCACCATTGCTCCAGCACATTTCCACGTCCGTACGCGCAACTGCAGACTGCCTTCGTTACGTCGCGTAGGAGCCTACCGTACAGCGTCGGAGTCCGAAACAACAACTTGACAGCAACAAGGGGGGCACCAATCGCCAAGCACGCTCACGTCCTGGCCATCTGCTCCCGTTCCTCCGCAGTAGCCTCAGGCGTCAGGCCGGGTTCGAGGGGTCCCCTGCAGCAAGGGCAGCCGACGTTTTCCGCTCCGCGGTTCTCGACCAGGCACGCTCGGTGGAAGTTGTGCTGTGCGCCGAAGGGCAGCAAAACGATCACAAAAATACTTGCAGTCAGGGGGCCTCAACAATGGCGCCGGTGGCCCTGTTAGCGCCGGTGAAATTGCTTGCCACAGACAGCATCATCAAGTCATTGTGTACTTTTGAAAAGCTCCGATCGGTTCGCCGGGCACGGACCGGCGTTATTGAGGGCCCACTACTGTACCATGGCACATCTGCCCTGTCAAATACGTCTAGACTAGAGGCCGGCAGCACAGTAGTACATTGTAATGCACGCACAGGGGAGGTGGTCCTCTTCGGGCAGTGGCCGATGGAATACTGCGTCGTGGTTCTCCACCGAACAGGCTAGTGGAGGCTGTGCCTTGCGCAGGGAGAGGTGACATGGACAAGGCTACAGCAGCGACACGTGTCATTACTTCCGTCTCAGGAAAAAATATGAGAATACAGGCAAGAGGGTGCCATATGGTGCCGTGGCAGTATCCCTCAGTGAAGGCTTGATCTCAAGCTCATCCGATGGTACGAGTGAATTGTACGCATGCGGACGGGAAGAAGTCAAGGTGTCAAGACAGCAACGGCCGCAGTCCGGTGCCAGCGCGCACGACGACTGGAGGGAGGAACTCAAGGTTAAACGCCTGGTGGAACACCCTTGTGTGCTGTTTGCTTATCCGCAGCTCAAAGTGTGTGTGTGCGCGCCTCCAGGGGGTGGGGAGAAGAGACCGAATATTAAAACCGAAACATCAATGAAGGTTCGCAAATTCGGACCGAACAATAGCCAGCATGCAGGTTTGCTTCAACTGAACGTGGTCATATCTTCCCTCGCACAAGTCATGTGTTCACCAGGTATTGGTAGTACAAAAGCACTGAGAAGAACATGCCGACTTTGGTAGCGTCAAAGCAAATTGCCATTTGCCCGCTGTCCCTCTCTTGCCTCTGCTGTTACTTTTATAGGCACAACCAGGTATCACCGACCCCCGCATCCGCTAAGCCCTGCGCTCATCACCTTGCAGAGCCTGACAGTGTACACCTCTCGCTGCTCCTGCCGCCGATTCAAGCCAGAATTCTTGAGCGGGCTGAGGCAGATGGAGCAAATGCCTCCTCCTTCGTGGCCCACCTCGGACTCGGTTTCACCCATCCCAGCGCCGCCGTTATCCTTGTTCATACTGCTGTTGACCACTGCAACACGCCCATCCTTTCTCTTTGGCGGCGTCTGAAAGCCAGCGCTCGTGGTCGAGATCAAAAGAGTATCAGCAGCCGTGGCGGGCCGCACTGCCCGAGGCGTGGTGCTACCGAAAAAAGCCGCGAACGAGCGAGCGGAGGGAGGCGTCCTCGCCGACTCCAGCGTGCTGGTTGGGGGGCCTGCGGGATGTTTCATGTCACGGCGATTGCGTGTGGGCGCGCGTGTACAGGCGTGCTGGGGAGGTGGTGCAAGGTAGTCTTAGACTAGGATGGTATCCAAACTGCTTCACAAGTGCACAACGTGTACAACGGAGACATGCTGGACACAGAACATACGAGAGAAAAGATGCCCACAGCAGTTTTACGATTGGACATCAAGTTGCAGTTTCTCTATTAAAGGCGAACGCCGAAGGTTCCTTTGCCTTAATCCTTTGGCTCGTTTTGGGTGAATGCCGTACATGACCTGACAACGATCAAATATCTCATATATCTACGACTTACATAGCAGCCGTTGGTCATTTCTTCGATCAACACGTGTCAGGGATGTTAGGATCGCGCCTGAAAAAAGTACAGCACGGCCTTGACTCACCGACACCGTCCATCTTCACCGCTTAACCTGGGCACCTGTGGCGACTTGGTGGGGCTGCTAACAACAGAATTGTAGTTGCTGTTTGTTGTGTAGTTGGCAGTGGTGGCGCAGTTTGGGTAGATACAACACAGAGTGATCATTAGATCCAAAACACAGGCGCCCAAGCTGTCTTCACCTGACGGTTACAGACTTGGAGACACGCCTTCACAATACTGCACAAAACCCATGCAGTAGAATAGAGTCAGTTCTTGCATACAAATCCCAACA